TGAGTGTGGTGAATGGAGTGGACGCATCCCTGAGGCCCCGTGTTCGCCCGCTTCCGTGTGACCTTTGGGACGCTTGCGATGGCGGAGGGCGAGGACCCCGCCAACCTGGGAGGAGGATACCCACGCCCCTACTCGCACGTGATCCCCGCCACCTCCTACGCCCACGACATGGCCTCCCACAGACTGTCAGACTCCAGGTTCTTCTTCTCGGAGAGGCGCCTGTCGCAGCTCTTCAACGTGGACGCCTGGACCGAGGAGGGCGAGGAGGGCCAGGCCGACGACTTCGCCGACGACGAGGACGCCGGCCATGAGCCGCCCCCCGAGCCCGCCCCCAGGGCCTCCTACTGCCCCCCGTCCCCAGGCACCCCGGGGGACGCGGCGCCACAAGCGCCCTCGGATGCGCGCTACGCGGGGGCGCGCCGCGAGCCCTCCATCTACTCCACGCTGAGCTCCGGCTGCCACCTGGACCCGCGGTTCTCCGCCGAGGTGGCGCTGGATATGGCCCGCCTGTCCACCCTCAGCGGGGGCTCGGGCCGCTTCAGCACGGGCCGCCTGGAGGACGAGGACGAGGACGGCTACGGCGGAGGCAACAACGGGGACGTGACGCCCACGCCGGGGTCCCCTGGCTCCTGCCGGGGCTCGCACAGCGTGTCCTCCAGGTACTCGCAGCTGTCCACGCTGACGGACTCCCTGGCGTCGTCCGGCCACCAGTCGTCGCTGCCGTCCGTGCTGTCCGAGCTGGCGGGCGAGGTGGACGGCGTGGCCGAGCTGCTCACGGACGAGGACGAGACCATGGGTCCGGGGCCCATGGTGTGGGGCGGCGACGAGGTCGTCAACTGGCAGGAGCGGTGCCTGGAGCTGGAGCTGTCGCTGCAGCGGTTCCGCGACCAGGCCGGCAAGATCCGCGAGCTGCTCAGAGAGAAGGTGAGTCGGCGGCGCCGGCCTCCTGCCCCTGCGGGAGGAGGCGGCTCGGTCGGATTCCGAACGTGTCCGCACAAGGGTGTTACTCTGAATGCTATTTTTTGTAGACTAGTACGAACTACCTGAAGGATATGTGGTACCTCTCGCCAGGATTCGCCCGTAAGGGAAAAAGTTTCCATATAAATACTTTTTTTTTTTGTATTTTTGAGATGAATAACAATCTGAGATTTTCAAGTTTAACAAACAGCAGATTTCTTTCTTTCTCTAAGCGCGAATTGATGTATTTTATCCCGTTTTCATCCGAATAAAATAAATCAGTTTCGAGTGCGAGAAGCAGGGAATAGCAAGTCTGAATGAGGTATTTTTATAAATGTAATATCACGTGATTTAATTTATATTCATGGAGTGACAACACAGAAACAGGCGTTGTCATTTTCCCAAATACACATCAAACTAATTATTTTGGGGGGGAAAAAATAGGGAAAATTAGTATGGAACAGGATTATTATGCCAATAGAAATTTTGAATTAATTCCGAATTGCAAAATTAATTATTGGCACGGGAGACAAACACTCTAATTTTGGATTCACTTTTTCTGCAAATAAAAGCGACACATCGTTATCTTTATTATCGTCATTGCTTTTTTTTTCGTTTATTAATTTCTGCTGTTGGTATCATTAATTATTAAATGGCATAGTTGTTGTCAGTGTCATCATCATCAATCACTATCATCTTCATCATCATCAGTCATCATCACTGTCATCGTCATTGTCAGTATTATTATCTTAATTATTGTCACCATAACCATTGCACTTTCACATGATGTTGCAACTGAAAGAGGATCAAGGGAAACGAGGAAATTAAATTAATTGCAAAGATTACAATAGACCAACAAACAACACGCGTCATTGTTGAACAAAATGGGAACATTTGGTTTTGAGGCGCGCGCATGCACACACACACATACATGCATTTATACATACATACATACATACATACATACATACATATACATACATACACATACATACATATTATTGCATACATGCATACATACATACATACATACATACATACATACATACATACATACATACATACATACATACATCATACATACATACATACATACACATAT